AAAAAAAAAAAAAAAAAAAAAAAACACACACACACACACACACAACAAAATGCTGTTCTTCGGTAATACGTACATTCCTCAAGCATTGACGCCACTTTAGCTACTGAAACCAGCCTCTGGACATGCACATGCGTGTCTGCTACCTAGATTGTCATTAAGCTGAACTGTGCTGCTACCTCTTGATACACACAGAAAACTGATTACATCAATTACAGCTATTTTACTTCTATTTGTGGCCTATTTACTGACCTTCCATCATACACAGAAATATTCATTACAGACCATAACCACTCCACTGGTGTACGAAATGTAGCCTGACACTCCAATTCTTAAATTATTCATGTATGTGGACTAGTGTATAATTTATAGTTTATTAATATAAAATGTCATTTTAGAAAGTAGCAATAGCTAACAGGTGTGATGGACCAACCCTTGGTATTTTGAGACATGGCATAAAGCAAAATATGCATTTCATTTCAAGTTTGGCATTCTCTTATTTAGTTTTCATGAAATGGCCTGTAACACTAGGACTGGCAGGAAAAGGGTTCAAATTTGTGCCTAATTGTCTTTCAATTAACATATCTACACAAGATGCACATAAGAGATAAAAGACAAGATCATAGAATATGCTGTATCTTGAGGCAGTATCTTTTAATTTAACTAGTTGGAAAATGGTATTACATAATTTCTTGTGACCTTTGTTGAATGAGGCAATTTAAAGCAAAATATACCTCATACCAATGTTTAAAACAGTTCTTATTCTTTTTATTATTATAAATATTTCAACATACATGCAGTGTCTGTAATGACTGTAATAACATTCCACTTATATAATCAAACTGTATTGTGAAACAGTAAAAAATGTGACTCACTCCTGAAGAAAGTTATGAAAAAATCATCTTCAAATGTTCAGTAACAAAGCTATTTCTAACAACCTTTTCTTCCTCTACCAATATATTTATGTATATACTGGACAACAGAAAAAAATAGCTGGGTCTGTTGCATCATCATGAAATCACAGAAGTCTTTACAGTCATGACATAATGAGTATCACTTTCTCTCAGCCAGTTATTGTTACAAGTAACATTTCCTTACTGAGGCTTATAATTAAATAAAAATACACCGCTTTCTTTTGTCCAGTGATTTTTTTTTGGTCTTTTGCAGGTATCAGTATCTTCTGTAAAAAAAGCTGACAACAAACACGTCAAGCTTGCTGAAGTTCAGCAGCTTATATAAATACAGCAAGCTTCAATATCCAAATAATAAGGCATTGAGTATTATTTACAGGAGGCCATCAGTCTAGCTGTATCACCATTTCTTTATCAAACATTATTCAACTTACTGTCTATGATGATCAAACCGTAATAATCTCTATCATTCAATTTCGTTGGAATACTCATGCATGAGGTGGATACAGGAGCACCAGTCATGAAAGTCTTGTCACAATACTTTCTGTATCAAGGCTAAGTGTAAATGTATGACGCACCACAACTAGTGGCTGCATCCCTGGAACATGTTTTCAGCAATTAGGCTGTAATTTTTTCTAGTTGTAGCAAGTTTCATGATGTTTTCTGTGGAGAGGATACAGCCTTATCCAAGCCAAGGGCCTGTTTCAACAAACGGACAACATTCTTTGCTTCCGCAGGTTCATTTTCTGAAACAAAGCATATTTACTAAATTATCAAGTACTGTTACAGAAATACCGCATATAGAGAAAGTTGATGGGGAGCATTTCAGTGGGAAAGGGAGGGAAAGGATATAACCAATTATTCCTTTTTAATAATATACTTTACCAAATTTATGTATACAATTCATTTTGTGATAACCACTGTATTTTTATAAGGTCTAATCAACTGTGAATTTGTAAAATTATGTATATTACTAAGCATTATTACGCTATGAACTACATGCCAAGTAGAAGATGATGCAATATAGCATGACTTGAGTTTTATAATTCCAGAGTTCCCCTGTAGCTCGGGGATGTATGATGCAAGCTTCAAAAGCAGTTAGCTAGGGACTTCCCAGTGGTACAGCCAATCAGAATTGCTAGTTATCCAGTGTAACATCATACTAGCGATAGCTTGATATCCTACACAGTTCTTTGTTTCAAACAGACATGTCCAAGTAGTTAAACAGGTCTGGTCAAGTGGCATTTGTGGTGGACAAAGTGGCGCTGGGGCAGGTTTTCTCTGAGTACTTCAGTTTCCCCTGCCAATCTTCATTCCATCAATTTCTCCGTCATCATAATCATCCGGGGCAGGCTACAACAGGCCAATTAGTGGCCACCATGCCGAATGGACCCAACTGGACTCCACCCCCCACTAAGCGAATTAAAAAAAAAAAGATATAACAGATGGGAGGTTAATGTGAAAACTAATCTCAGAGACACAAAATGTGAAGACATGACACGAGTTAAACTCGTTCAGGATAAAGCCTAATGGCAGACTTTATTGGACAGTGTGAAAATGAACTACACAAATGAGTCCAATTAAGAGCACAGGCATTAATCTGAAGCATTAAAATGTAGTCACTTACCTTCTGGATTGCTAATTTCACGTTCCAAATTAAGCTTTTCTTGTGCTACTTGGTGGATGCCTTCTTCAATAGTACCTTCGCTTAGTAACCTCATTACTGCCACACTCCTATTACACGATCACAATTAAAATGTGACAAAGTAACAATAATAACAGGTGAAACTAATAACTGAGATAAAGAGCAGACTAAATTTAAGAAATGCTTGCTACCATTGACTTCAGACATCTTTATCTTCCCATATTTCAAACAAAAACAACATCTATATATAAATATATTGACAATAAATGTACTACTAAATTAAAAACACAATTACCTAATGCACCTGTCATCTGGTGACAAGTTTCAAGTTTGTCACAATTATATGATGCAAAACATTTGTGTGCAATAGCTATATACCACAATGGTATAAAAAATACTAAAATTAGAATGCTGATGACTGACCTTGTCTGTCCAACGCGATGACAACGATCCTCAGCCTGTTTGTCATTATAAGGGTTGAAGTCTACATCATGAATAATGACTGTATCAGCTGCTGTAAGATTAATCCCCAGACCACCAGCTCGAGTTGACAACAGGAATGCAAAAATTGACTCATCTGCATTGTAAGCGTCTATTAATTCTTGCCTGCAACATATACCATATTAAAGAAATTAGGCATAAAATATTTTATAACTGTCAGAACTTAAGAATATAAACGTTCCTTCTCAAAACTTCAACTAACAGAAAAACAATTTCATTTTTAGTTCTGATCCTGAATCACATTCTTTTCATCAGACACTATTACACAGTATTATTTTTTATTGCTAGTGGGGTGGGACTAAGTCTCTTGTACTGCGGCCATTTCTGGCCTGTTGTAACAGCCCCAGATGATAGGTGAGGGTGATTGTGGAGCAATTGGTGGAATGAAGATTGGCAAGGGAAACCGAAGTACTTGGAGAAAACCTGCCCCAGCGCCACTTTGTCCAACACAAATCCCACTTGACCAGACCCAGGACCGAACCTGGGCCGCCGCGATGGGAAGCCAGCGACTAACTGCTTGAACTATGGCGTGACCCTCACTATTAGACAGTAAGTAAAAAAAGTAAAGTTATCCTTGTAACAGGCTGTGAAGGCCCATAGAGTTGTGAGACGTTGAAGGTCCCACATTTTCTAAACAATCGGCTCAAAGATGGCAGTAAGGTTGTCAGCCTTACTCTGAAATCAAACGTAGAGTCGAAACAGCAGGCAAACACTTTTAAGTGACCTTGGAGGCTGTATGTAAACAGCTAAACAGGTAACATCCCATAGAAGAGGTGAACAAGCTAGAATCATGGTATAGCTCGGTTTCCCTTCATTGTGCATGTAAATTATTAATGCAGAATGGGATAAATTAATTGTATTGCGACAAAATATCTTATAGAAACAGCCTTGAAAGACAGGAAGTGGATGGAAGTACCAACATCCTGTCCAATGGTAGGTTTCAGTATTATGTATTACATATTCTATTTCCAGTGAATGCGTCTGTTAAATACAGGCAATTTTCTGGAGGAAAACTAATCGATAGAGCATGCTTATTATGACAGCAATCTATCCTTGCAACCATGAGTCACTCAGTTCTGAGACTGGCAGCATCACTAGGTTACTGACAAGTTTTTTGTGGTATCCCTGCATGAATGCCAGGAAAATATCGTAACAATTTAGGGGTGTGATTATAGAAGGGGTATGGACTGATGAAAGGATTTATTGACAACCTATACACACCGCTTGGAACTACAAGTAATTACAATACTATCGCTGATTTACACACTTTACAAATCACTAGGACATGCTACGTCTTCTCAGTCTTCACTAGTCATATCCTGGCAATGGATATGCTGTTAACTACAGCACACATAAGTCTTATTTTCACTGCTGCATGCTTGTAACTCTTTTCTTCACAACTGAACTACCAACCATCAACTATCTCTTGATTCCTCAATTATCGACTCAGCTGGCCTGGGGTCCTCATTATATAGCCTTGGGGTAGTAAAGTAAAGGTATACCTGTAACAGGCCATGGAGGTCCATAAGGTTGTGAGATGTTGAGGTTCCCACATTGTTTAGACAATCGGCTCATAGATGGTGGTAAGGTTGTCAGCCTTACGCGCCGGCCGGACCTTACCCCTAAGAACATTCCAAGAATATTCCCGGTACTCATTTCTGTTAGAGGCTGAGTCGACCCCAGGGCCATAGTGCAGCCGGAAGGATTAGGTCAATTGAGAAAAATCTAATGACCTCATCAGGACTTGAACCCGCAACCTTCCGGCTTGTAGCACAGTGCCTCAACCAACTATGCTACTGCAGATGTTGACCCAATAAAAAACACTGTTTCCTAACAATTCTTCCATGATTGCTTGCATATTCATTGCCATGGGAATGTGTTTACTGAGCCACTGCCTAGCAAAGAACATCTACTCTAGATTCACTATTCCGGTATTCAGGCATCATGGCTCAGCACCTTGAAGCAGCCACGGTCACCTCCTTCATTAAATAGTTATTCATCATTCATGGATCCTTCGTCATTTTCTCATCTAAGGCAACAATAATAACCTATGCAATTGAAATAGTGTTACTGAATACCTTAAGGCTCAGTCAATATAAATTAATTTGAACATTAAACTGAGGATAATGTTAAATGGGGGAAGGGTTAACAATGTGATAATGGGACTAAAACCGTGCAAACTGAACATCAAATAAAGGAAATGCTTAAATGCAGAAAAAGTAAATGGGGATTCTATTACAGCAAGCTGGTCTTCATTCTCACAACACTCATTTTCTGAATGAATATTCAAATTGTTGTCAATGACTACTTCACAGATTTCATTTAAAAGTGGCTGGCTGGAGCAGACAGACAAGCATTCAGGTGAATATCTGTTAATATTTATTTTACATCTGTGAAACCACATCAGAGAAGTTTTCTAGACAAACCTTGACGTGACAGGGGTGCTGCCATCAAGTCGCAGGTAATGATATCCCCTAATATGCAGGTATTCCTGCAGCACATCTAACATGATAACAAACTGACTAAAGATGAGCACTCGATGCCCCTCGCTCTTCAGTTTTGGTAGCACTTCATCAAGCTTCCGGAACTTTCCAGACTCAACTAAAATCTCAACAGGCAGCGAGTAGCCAGACAGGCACTGTTGCAACAGTCACAAAAAAAAAATGAAGTCATGAAATAGCAAGCAAAACAGTATTACTTAAAAATACCAAACTGCTAACTACTATATATGACTGAAAACCAGATTAAGTGTGAAACCTAAAGTTATGAAGATATCAAGTCACTGTAGCAAAACATTATGTTTATCAGGTTCAACCAGCGTTATAAACATTAACATCTATATTGCAAGGTCTAATGATTATCAGCCACAGTTAATACACAACTTATGCTAGAAACAATAATTTATTTTCAAGGTAAATGCAGTCCAGTATATGGGAAAGGACATATTACATCCTTGCATCAATTTTTCTGCTTCATAAGCAATGCCTGACATGTATACTAAACATGGGCAATGTATCTGTAATGACAAAAACCAGTGAGAACTACACATTAGCTGCAGGCTATCATTGGTCATATAACTGATTCTGGCATGGTATTTTCTGAACATGTGACTGTAAGAGGAAGCTTGTTTTTCAAGATGCCCAAGTTTGAGGCAGGAGGGGAGGGGAACCTAGCCTTATATTCAGGTAAATATGGCAAAAAAAACTCCATGGCTGTAGTCTGCAAGAGAACTATACCGACTGAGCAACCTCTGCTTGTCAACGAAGTTAGTGCCATCTTTAGTGGATAGAGGGTGTCGTGTGGTCAGCGCAATGGATCCCCACTGTTGTTAATTTCGGTTTTCTAGATTGCAGCCGCTACTTTTCCATTCAGGTAGCTCCTCAATTATCTTCATGAGGCTGAGTGGACCCTGTTCCAGACCCACTACTTCTCACAAAATCTGGCAGCACTGGGAGTCGAACCCGGACCTCTGACCACTAGACCATAGAGGTGGTTGGTAAATATGGTATGGTACTCATAAACGTTTTTGTTCCCTGTACTTTTTGTTTCTGACTCATGGATAGAGGAAATATCCCTAAATATTCTCAGAGAGGTATTCAGGTGGGTCCTAAAGCTATTCTGGATGCGAAGGTACAAGGAACAATTCCCAGTGTCTTTACCAAGGATCAAATCTTGGAAGTTCAGTTCTCACACCATATGAAGAAATAAATTAATATCTTACCTTATAGACAGAACTCAGTTGATGAATTTGATAGTCTGACATTACAGCTAGATCCTGAACAATATAATCAGGATTGGTTTCTTTGTATGTCTGATCGGCAGCTAATCGCTTGGCCATGTCTTCCAGCTGTTCATCCATAAAATAGTAACGCAACAGCACTGGGTGGTTTGCCATTTTTCGAAGCTGCATCATCATTGCTATGCCACTCAGTGCATCGTTAGTGCCCACCAGCTGCAACATCAGCATAAGGTAACAGATCTGTTTAGTCACTGACAAGTGGTTTGTTTAGGTTCAAACTTGAATATGGGCATGTTTAACAAAAGTCTTCAGAGTTAACTAAAATAACATCTGTTTTAGATTTGAGGTTTTTATGATGGTGAAGATTCATACTTGGGTCTTCTGGGTTGTATTACCTGAAGGAGGTGATATGCTGCTCTAAAATTCTGATTATCACTGACAGACAATATGGTGTCATTAATCAGAAGACAGCAAGAACTGCCATTCGTTTCTTAGTTTATTTAACAATATTTTCTCAGCTCCACAGGTTATAAAGCATTAAAGAGTGCCTGTAAATGATAAACTGAAACAGATATGAAAGAGTTGTGGCTTATTTTAAGAATCTATACCAACACTAGCCTGAAGAACTGAGTAAAACCAACCTGTAAGTTCTCTGGGCAACATACAAGGTGCTATGAGAAAGTTCCTGGACTAGGTAAAAAAAGGATATGCTGTCATCCCTTCAGTTTCATGTCCAATTTGGGAAACAAAGCGAAATCACAGGGGGCTAAGTCCAGCAAAGTATTGAGGATGGAGAATGATAACAATGTTGTTGTCAGTCACAAACTCTGTGGTTTTCAGGTACCTGTGGGTAGGCACATTGTCATAATGAAGGAGCCAGTTGTGGTTTCGGTCTTTTGTGTCATGCATTTTCTCTTCATGCATCTCTAAACTTCACAGTAAAAGTCCAAGTTGACTGTAGTGTTGGGAGGAACAAATTAACGGTGACCAAACCCCTTCATTCCCCCCCNCCCCCAAAAGTTGGATCCTTGTTTGCCTTCTCTTGTAGCTCAAGACACCCATTTATGTGCCACTGCTTTTGACCATTTGTCAAGAGTAAGGGAACAAACTTCATGGCAATGCGGTGCATGTTCAAATTTTCTGTTAAGATCTCCTGGCAAACTCCATAACTGATCCCACTGACATCTGCGAGCTCATGGATTGTTTGGTGGCTATGGTCTTCATGGACAAGTTCTCAAATTTTTCCAACATTTTCTGTCACTTTGCTGATGCTTGGTCACCCTGAACGTGTGTCATCTTCAAATGACACTTGACCGGCCTTGAAATGTGAATGCCATTCAAAAACTACTGTCCAACTTAAAGAATGTTCTCCAAAAGCCTCATGAAGCATTTCAAGGGTTTTGGTAGCAGATTTACTGAGCTTCATGCAAAACTTGATTGATTTTGCCATCCATTGCAGAAAAAATGAAACATGAGGTTGAAAAAGTACTCATGTAAAAACAATGCGTGTTCATGGTGCAGTATCACATGGCAGATTGATGCAATAGGCTTGCAGAAGTATGACCTTGGCCTGCCCTCTCATCTTCTTTCACCAAGGCAGTTACAACAGAAACAGTCGGGGAACTTTCTGATAGCACCTTGTAGCATCATTAAAGAGTTTCAGCAGCTGACTTGTGAGCAGGGTACACTTTCTGATAATACTTGTATGACACACTGTACTGACATTTTTTCTCATAAAATGTTAAAATTAGGGAAAGAAAGTAAATAAGACATATATTTTTATAGTGTATACTTTGTTTCATATTAAATACTTCTATTTGTAATTAGTTAATGTATTTTGTACCACATTTGATTCTGTAAGCAGCGCATAGTTGTGACAATTCATTATGCAGGTATAAAATATTTAGAAATGGTTCGATATGTGAACAAATTATATGTTTTAAGAAAAATCTGGTATAATTTTTTACCTTACTTCTTGCTCTCCTTATAATATTTACACCTGACCCTCCAGTTCCTGTAACTTCGTTTATGGATGAAACACAATTGCACAAATGACTGAGCAAGAACAGACCGACCTGTATGTAGGTCACAACCTTATTTCTGGTCTGAAACTTCGGAATTAATAGTGTACACATAATAATTGGAAATGGCTATTATATATGGGCATGGACAGTTGTTACTATTTATTATGTTAATTACCCTTTGTGTGCTCTGCTGTGAGAAGGTCTGAATAAGGTCATCATACTTCTCCTGCTGGCTAGGTTCAAGAGGACACAGTAGTGTTACATCTGATTTTGTAGGCAGATCTTTCATCACTTCACTCTTCAACCGTCGTAAAACAAAAGGCTTCATGATTCTCCTAGCTTGTGATACTTGTTCTTGCTCAAATCGAGGTAACTCATCCTCTTTTGAGTTTTTTGTACCATCTCGCTGAAAAAAATACAATAATATAATGCCATAACAGGGTTATATTATTATTTTTCTTAGTGACAAAACTAAGGAAAAGCACAGGGTTTTCAAGTTTGGCTGTATAAACATAAAAGACTAAGGAAGCCATAAATAAAGCAGTCCACTAACTAACTCCCTGATAACAGAACCCAAAAGCTTAACACTAGCCTGCCAATGGATTCAATCCTGAATTATTTCCAGCCACCTCCATCCTCTCAACCTAACTTCCTAAGATTAATTTTGATATTGTACTTTCATTTTCTCTATCACCTTACTGGCTGCTTTCTGAGAGGTCTCCCACCAAATTTCTGTAGTTATTCTTTGGTTCTCAGATCTGAATTAGAGATGCTTTCCTGATATGGAGGGTAAGTGTAAACATATAGGCTAAAGTATCGCAGTCAGCCAACAAGGGGTGGTCTGCTACCTTGAAGACTGTGTGTAAGGCTTAAAAACCTTCACCAAACAAATTTTTTAAATTATACAACTTTGAATGCAGTTCAGTATCTTGGGAAATAAGAAGACAAACAGAAAGTAAGATTAGGGAAAATTCCTCCAGTTATGGTAGCATCAATTTCTGCAGCCCCTGCAAATTTGGCAAGGCAAATAGTTTCTAGGAAGTGAGAACAATGAGAAAGATTCTAGATCACAGGGAGATACTGAGAATAATGGGAAACAGAAGAGACCTACAGCTTAATATTCTACTCATTCCTGAAGCCTAAGAATTAACAAAGGAGGCTTGCAACTGTGCACATATAAATCTACGCTCATATCAGACGGGACAGAACTGAAACCATCAAGACCCTATCCAAACATATGATAGTATAATGTATAAATTGAAACTTCTGTATAGCAAAATGGAAGGAACCAATTATACGTGGTCTGAAATAAAGTCTGCAAACTCAATGCAGTAAAATGCTGCGTACCTCACCGCTGAATATCACTGTGGTTGCTTTTAAAGTACCACCCTTGGTAAGCTATGCACCTATGCCAGTGCCTAGTCCACCCTTCAAAACAATTTTGAAACTGGTGTTGTGGAATGGCCTTCCAAGCTGCCATTGTATCACACCTGATGTCATCAGTGTCATCAAAATGCCTTTCTTTCAATATTTCCTCTATCTTCAGGAACAGAAAAAAGTCATTGGGGACTAGATCTGGTGAGTAGGGAGGGTGTTCTAGCATAGTTATTTGTTTACTAGCTAAAAACTACCTCCCAGACAGTGTGTGTGAGCAGATGCAATGTCGTGATGCAAGACTGATGAGTTGTTGGCAAAAAGTGTGGGTTACTTCCATCTAACGCTTTCACACAGCCTTTTCAGTATTTCCAAATAGTAAACTTGTTTGACTATTTGTCCAGTTGGCACAAACTCAAAATGAACAATAATGAACATGGTGGCAAGTTTGCAAACTTTATTGTCAGACCTCGTATGGCTATAATTTTATTAAAAGCATTATGAGCTCCATGTACTCAAAATCCTGTTATGTTTAACACCTACCATAACATGCAGTACTGTAAAGTTCTAAGAAACTCTTCTAAATAAACACTTTCCACAGAAATGACAACAGCTGACAACAGAGAGAATACAGCTGGCAGATCCACCTACCAGCACAATTAGTATTACCTACAACCAGTATATGCAGCACTCTACTGGCACAATGTATTATCATAATTTAACACCATCATTACAGTTCTGCCATGCTCAGGCAATGAATATTTGGTATCAAAGTCATCCAACGCCTTTGAGAACACAAGGCACGCTAATAAGATGATAACCACTGGGGAGACCACGTAAAAGAAAATACATAAAAGGGATTAGGGAAAGAGAGGAGAAAGAAACAAGAGATATGACCATGCTAGGCCAAACAAGAAAAGAGAAGGTCTTGTCATCACTACCAACCCATAAAAGCAAATTCTGTCTACTTACCGGGCATTTTGAAAACAGGCTCTTCAGGATATCTTTCTTGCCCTCAAACATGTGTGGCATGACAAATATTAATAGTGACATTAGTTCTATGAGATTGTTTTGGAGCGGTGTGCCGGTCAGCAGAATACGATGCTCGGCCTGAACAGAAAGAAATATAATACTAACTATAGTCATTATTTTACATGTGCACATATCATTATGGAAAAAATCACAAGTCTCGAGACATGACAATCAAAAATCACAGAGAACTGTCTGATAAATGCCATATGAAGGTGAAGTGTTGACTATGAGGAGAATCATCCTCTAACGAGACAGGCAGGTTACACTCTTCCCATCCGCAGAATGAAGATGTAATGAAAAATAAATGTTATGCACCACTATAGAGTTTGAGATTTCTATAGAAGAAAATGACATTTATGCATACTGGGGCAACAACCAATCTCCTAATGGGACTGGCATTGGCTTGTGATAAACTTCCACCCAACAGGTTACTGGGTGGGCAGTGAATGTGTTAAGGAGACAGTGGTATGGTCATGTGTTACAGGTGTATGGCAACAAAATTCCTTTGAGTTCTAAGAAAGTCAGTGCAGACATTTCACATACCCTCTCACATGGGAGTGACCTTGACTACATGACCCTGGAAATGAAATTGACTGTTACATGGCAAGTCATTACTGGTTGCTGAAAAGCCAGTTTCAAGAAAACTGTCACTTCATGTTTGGGTCCCTAGAACATGTACTGTCATTTTCCTAAAAACATCGCTTATACTGTTTTGTTTAGCAATATAGTCTCCATAAAAGACCGAAATTTAATCCAATTCATTTGAGCCATCTTTAAGAAAACTGCCATTTTGTGTTTTGGGGCCCATACTTTTGGTGCTGGAATGTCCAGATTCATCAAGCTCTGACCTAGGATGGGTAAACTCTTAAATATTGAATATGACTAGAATTCATCCAACCATTTGAAGCACATCACAGCAGTAGTGTACCATGTTTCTAACAAACAGCATCACTGTGTAACATTTTGGATAGCCACATGCATTTAATTAATTAAACTGCAGCATATAGCATAAAAACATCTCAGAACTGCTTACTTCAGAGAAATGGTCACACTTTTACTCACATTGATCCTTGCAAGATTGTCATATCTCTGAGTGGCCATATTTTTCAGCATGTGCGCTTCATCTAGAACAACATACTGCATACGTAGAACACGGAACATCTTCCGTTCTTCTGGTGAACTACTCACTATGCTGTACCTGCATCCAAAAGAAAGATTACAGTTATATTCAACTGAACAGATGGTACAGCAAGTGACGTCCTCTGATATGGAGGATTTTAGTAGTATTGTATTTAAGAATATCCAGTGGTCAAAAAGTAGGCTGATAGCCTGATGTGCAAAAGACTTCAGGTTCAAGAACAGAATATTTGTAGCATTATGTACACTTTTTTTATTTACCATTTGTGTTTTGTAGTGAAATATAATGTACCATATTTGTAGCAAATGGGCTAGACCAATAACACTGCACTACAAGCATCACTGTAAGTCAATTTAGTGCACCTCTCCATGTAATGTAAAGAGGAATGGGGAAAACTGCAGCACCATGGAACAGAGACTGCTCAAAGTGTCAGATTACTAGGCACTAATAACTGCCTGGTATATTTTTTGTCCCTTTTATTTACTCTCTCTCTCACTCTGTCTTTATATTCATTACACACTTATGTTTAGTCTATGCAAGGATGAGGCAGCAAAGATCTGAGATATGGCTCTTGTGTGTAGCCTTTGTGTGACTTCACAGCTGATCTATAGTTTTCAGTACTGCCAGCATTCAAAGCAGAGAAAATTACAGAAACTGTGAAAAACAACAATTCCGATACTGATTTCATGCCTAAGCCCCTGAATCAAATCCATAAGAATTGTCATTATGAGAAAATGAACAAGAGGTTTAGAAATCATGGGGGGAGAAGGGAAACTTCGCCTTGATGAGACTGTGTTGGTATAAATGTGCCACTTGCCTTTAGGGAATAAAATTATGATGTACAGTATGATGTTTTAAAAATTTGTAACAAGGTACATTTATACCATGCCAATTTATGATGGAAAGTATGGAAATTTCACTAACACAGTGGATTTCCACTGCATTCTCTTGAAGGGGACGGATACGTCTGCCAGGACAATTACTACAACGGAGTCCAAATTCTAGAAACCCTCTCAGACAAGAACATAAGACTGTGTGGGGTCATCTGTTTGAATCAAGGCCTTCTGAAGGACTTGGCTGAATAATTTAAAGAGTTAAAACTGTAAACTGTAATGTTACAACAGATTCAAGATGTGCTTTATCCAAACTTCAGGGAGAAGTGACTGGCAAACATGATATCAACCAACAGCAACTGCAGATACCTTCAGCAGTTACAGAGGTGAAATCAAAGAGTGTTAATACACATGTCATTCCACTGATACAGGGCGTTCAATCAAGGAGGAAACTTCATAACACCATTGACCGGTCCCAATATTCCACACAGATTGCTACTGTAACTGTAAAGGTACGCGTTTATCAGCGCTAATGACTAATTCTGTTATCAGCAGTTACAGCAGCAATCTGTGAGGAATGTTAGGCTGGGTCAGTGGTGTTGAGAAGTTTCCTCCTTAACTGAACACACTGTAGTATATTTTGTATTTCTCCATAACATAAAATGTAACGAAGTGGTCAAAGATGGTGTTCTTTTACTTTCCACATTGTACTCTCCCCATCTCTTTCACCACCTACTATAAATGAAATTGAAAATCAAAGAAGAAATTTTTTTATTGTATAACTAGTAACAGCGGGATGTTAATCCATGCTGCTCATCATGCAATTTCCTCATGCTCTGATGAATCTCATGTCTTGTCCCAACAGTCACTCTTACATCATAAACTCAATCTGATTCCCACCACCAAAGTTGATACATATATGAGACAATGCACTGTGTTTCAGAAAGACCCTTTAAGAGGCAAATATCAATTTTGTGTGCTCTGTGTTAAGTTCCTCTTCATCCTGAAGGATGCTATATATACTATCACACCCTCATAGCCTACTAGGGGTAAGGTAAAATTTCTATTCTTTCCTTTTCTGAAATTTGAAAAAACAGACTTTTTCTTCAGGAACTGCAAACCTCCATGCCTGACTTATAAACCTTAGCACTGAAAAGGGGCTCAGATTTTAAAGCCCAGGACTGCATGTCTTAAAGTTTCCTCTATGCCTTAGCACCATTTCAAACACCTTGGCATTAGAGAGATGAATGTCAGGTTCAATCTCCAGCCACTTTATCCTTCCTCATGAACAGCAGACTGAGTGAGCTCAAAGTTGGTCTGGACATGGTGGTAACAGAAAAATATGCATCCTTACCATGAACTGAATCTCAGTTTCCTGCAGTCAGTTACTTTACTGACTGAGCTATCTTGCCTCACAGTAATTACTGGTTTCAATTTCTTTAACAAACAACAATGGTTTCTATAGTTACACAAAAATGTTCACTGCAAGACTTATACACAGTAATAATTTTTTGCACCACATCAGCCATGACCACCATACTGAAAATGTTTTGCATGCTGGATTATTCTTCAATTTGCAATGCATAAGCTTCCTTCCCCTGAATGTGATGTAGGGTGAACTGTTTACTCACGTTGTAAGTATAATGTCAACACCTTCAAGGCCATCCTTCATCCAACTAATTCGCATGGCCTTGCGATCTTCTGGAGAGCCATAGTAAGTTACAACTTGCAATGAGGGGCACCATCTAGCAAACTCATTGCTCCAGTTCTCTGGAACAGACTTACTCTCTCGTTATACTGTAACATATCTCTGTACACAGATATTACTGCCATAAGATATATCAAAAAACTATTACTATAAATCATCAAATAACAAACAGTAATAAGAATTAACTTTTTATTTAATATGAACTTCCTTAAAAGAATATCTTTTATCCATTAAAATTAAAGTCCCTCTCTTCTCGTCAGAACTGATAACTCAACTCTCTCCTGCTGGGAAAGAACCTGTTTCTTTACACCTACCTGGTAATAAGCCTAGAACTCTGATCTTTTCACAAGTCTTCCTATATGAAATAATCTCTACATCAATGCTGGAGGAAATGCTAACACTAAGCCTGTTCAAAGGTCCAAAAATCAGCAGTACTTTTACAGGATTTTTCAAGTTTTTGCCATTCACCACTTTCTTCATAAATAGAACACAATATTACAATTCTAGGATTCTCACTTCACTGTCTCTGTGTCACTTCGTCCATATACTGAATTCACACTTTGAGGTTCTTCCTCTTCTTATTATTTTACACTATATGTTTAATCCTAAATGGCCGTCATAAGATTGTAGATGAAATCTGCTACTCTGTTCTTCTGCTGTTGTATTTTGCATTTTAGGCCAAAACATGTAGTGTAAAATACATAATAAGAAGAATCAAAGAGCCTCAAAGTGTGAATTCTGTATATGGACGAGGTTGCATGGCGACAGTGAAGTGAGAATCCTGAAACTGGAGTAGTCAGTGCAACAGGATTATTCAGTACAATATAAGGAACATATCTTCTGGCATTCATAGGACACTTCTGCACATAATGTTATGCGCTAAGAATATAAAAGGTAAACATATATCTGAACTTCTGGGTTGCAATGTCATGCAGTTCAGTGAAATCCTAACATTTTGAAGGAACATATCACTTCCATCTTCATGGTTGATGAGTAACTCTGAAGATGGAGGTGATATGTTTCTCCAAGATGTCGGCACTTTCTTTGAAATACATGGTGCTAGGACACAGAAGACCACAATCTTCATAACCACTGTGAGGAATCTGAATCCAACACAGGAGTATGCATCCGACAACTATGACATGGAGATTATTTAAGTGATATGGAGATAAAGTTTTTACAATTCTTCACTTCAGCACGAGATGCAACTGAGTGGTCTAACTAACGCTTGGCCACTGCAAAAATTTGACAGATGTTTGTCAACTGATTTTGGGAAATGATGACGTCTGAAAATATTAACATGAACTGAATGAAAATATGATTACTCAAAACGGCAACAGAATAGAAACTAAAGACATAGATATATCTTGAAAGGCTAGGAACATATTGGCTGGACTAAGTAAGGAAGAGGAGGGAGATACTATGGACAGAAGTAACAGGCCTGAATCTATGGGAGCATATACAGGGACAGAAACTGAGGGGAACTGAGGAGGAGGAGGAAGAGGAGTGGGGAGGAGGAGAAATATGAGTGTGCTGACAGCAGGTTATACACTATCTGACTACAAAAAAAATTAAGTGAAATGACAGTTCCACACTTCACAAATATGACATATTATATGACAACAAAGAAGAAACTGGAAACAACATGCTGAAGGAATGAGCTCTGATAGGATCCTCAAGAAAAGAGTAAAGCATTAAGCTAGAAAAAGAACATCTACAAGGACAGAATAAACTATGTTTTGTTAATACCATGAATAGGTCTAGTGGACATATTAATGAGAAAGATAAAGAAAGAAAGATAACACATTTAATCAATTAGATTTAAAGTAGGTACTCAAAGGACTGAAACTTTTAAATGCTGAAGAGATCAACATAAACTTATTACCTACAAAACACACAAGTGGATGCCAGATTCACTCACCAAGTGTGGAAGATGGAACCACCACAAGGTGAGGTCCATCACCCTGCATGCCGGTCTCCTTCAAATGTGCCAGGAATGCTATCACTTGCACTGTCTTTCCAAGGCCCATCTCATCAGCTAGGATGCCATTCAGCCCCTGCCCATGCATAACCAAGAGCCAGTTGAGTCCCACCATCTGGTACCCTGCAAGTGTAAGACTGCAATAAAGAAGTTCACTAATTAATACAAGTTTGAAGTAACAATACAGTTAGACTTGAAAGGATTCTGACAATGGTGTATACTGCACTTCTTTTGGCTTATTTTGGACTTCACCCATCATCTGGTATGTAAAAGACAAAAAGACAAAAAACCACAACGTGATTGAGACTAGCTCTTTCTAAGGGGCCCAACTGAGTAGGTTTATCCTTCCCTATCCACCTGAAGATGGAGACAGATCCAGTCTCCGAAACGTCGTGGTTTTTGTCTTTTTGTCTTTTACATGCCAGACGATGGGTGAAGTCCAAAATAAGCCAAAAGAAGTACAACAAAATAGTTGTTTTTATTTTTTGCATCCTATTGTGTTATAAAATCAAGGTACAGGAGCTGTCAACATAACAATGACCTAAAATGAAATTTTGCCGGTCACGGTAGCCAAGCGGTCTAAGGCATGCACTGTCTTCGCTTCTTCGGAAGCTGGAATCATGGGTTCGAATCCCACTCAGGGCATGGATGTTTGTGTGCGTTTTTCTGTGTTTGTCTACAGGTAGAGGCCTTGCGACAAGCTGATCACTCGCCCAAGGAGTCCTACCGTCTGTGTAAGATCTAGAAAAACCGAAGTGAACGGAAGTTCATGGAGGTAGGCCTAGGTCCACTGGGGCTGTAGTGCCAAGGAGAAAAAAAATGAAATTTTAAAATATCAACTTGCATCAATAAAAATATATCAATCATAAGATGCATAAAAAAAAAATTATTGCAAGTCATGTATGCAGCATAAATAAATATACAAGTTACTTGATGATGGTCCATGAGAACAAAGCATTTAGTGGTTAAATGAGACAATAAAACTGATTAAACCACTGACATATTTTTATTGATCTTCCTAGATTTTAGTGAAATTTAATTTACTTCACTACTGTGTCAACTGCTCCCATACCTCGAACAACAGTTATTATCCATGACTTGGTGTACTTTGACTCACCTAAGATTTTACAAAAGATACTCTCGTGAATGGGCATCAAACTCAGGCCAGATTGCTGATATCTTGGCCTAGCTAGCCAATGAGCATGATGTCATTATACGATTCAGGACAATAAGAAATTGATCAATTTCAAAACAATATTCAACAGGTCTTGCAGATTACTTATCATATCTTGAATATTTGCCTTCTTTATGAGCTTTCCTTTCACATTAGTTGTTATTTCTTGGAATGATTTTAGGAAAATGAGCACAAATTTGTTTAACACAGGCTAAATGTCTTGACAATACAAACCTAATAATCAAAATAATCAACAACTGCTCACAAGAAGCTAAAAAATGAGCACAAATTTGTTTAACACAGGCTAAATGTCTTGACAATACAAACCTAATAATCAAAATAATCAATAACTGCTCACAAGAAGCTAAAAAACACCTGACAACAAGGCACTGCTGTGGAAACAAAGACCTCTGTAACCACACATCATAAACCGAATACTTCTGCAGTTATAATCCTTGTGAACACAGAAAATACTTTTCATGGGGATGCAAGTGTTTCTTTTCATCAGTAGTAAGGCTCTTGAGGGGTGAGAAGGGAAGGGAAAGCAGCATGTACAGCCTAATCAAATTTATCAGTTATGCCTCTTATTAACAAATCAGAGGTGCAGCCTTCAAATGCCTCTGTCAGTCAGCTGAGAAACACCAAGGTTACAGATAAGTCAATGATTATTATATGAGCGCTATTCAAAAAGCAACCTCCATTTATGTTATGCAACTAATGTAGTAGCAGGGGAGGGCTCCCTCATGAAAGGACACAGACAAGATTTTTTGACAGGATACACGAAGATGAATACTTAACACCATCATATAATGCTATAGTGAAAATAAAACTAAGGATTAACAAGGATGTTTATGTTTGCGGTAGACCTCTAGATATGGTTTTATCGATCACCTTGCCCTCTGTCTGTCCTGCAAGTTGAAGGAATCATTCCTAAGATATGACAGAGATGGCTTCACAAATGCAGTGTTGTGGGTAGTTATAGCAGTTTTGGAGATGAAACATGCAAGAAACATGTAAGAAAATTTATAGCCATGACAGCATACCAGGGATGAGACACAAAAATAATCCAGCATTATCAATACATCAACGTACATGCCAGGAGATAGGATCCATAAACATCAGAATTCAGTGCATTCACACTAAAAGGAAGATTATGAACAGACCTTGGTGAGAGCAGAGATGGTTGCTTCTTAACACTAGAGGCTCCAGCTGCTATTGCACGCTCCATCTGTGCTGCAAGTTTGGTACACTTCTTCATTAAGGCTTGTACCACTTGACGAGCCCTCAGAACATCTTGAGCAGAATTGAGCAATTCTGTTCCAAGGAACTTTCCTTCCTGGAATTTTTCTACCTGCGGCAACAAGTTATTTTCTGTCAATGTCTATTCAGTTTCAACTGCTCGCCTATCCCTTATTCCTTCCAAGTCTGTTGGACTCTACTCTGGTATCAGGAAAATCACATTCACCATTTAAAACAATTTAAAATTAATACAAAATACTGATACTGAATCTACTGATGTGTCATATTTTTAAAGTAGTAGAATCCCACGTTGGATTGTCTCTGACAATTCTAGAATTCACATAAAATTAACTGAACCAGGTTAAATCCATTTAATTATTTACTGTCCCTTGTTTCCATTTAACTAGACCTATATTGTATTTGAGAACTGAATGTAGATTCAATTCTTGGCCCAGAAACCCGCTATCCTGACTGATATTTCTGGTGGCTTTCAACAGTTTTTCCAAACAAATGTCGGGATAGTACCTTAAAACAGGCCATGTTTGCTTCCTTCCACATCCTTTCCAATTCATCATTCACACTCATCTCCCATTTGACACTACATAATCTGTACAGAAGAGAAAGAATCACTACATAAATTTAAATAAACTAAATTTCAACTTACGTTAATTTTTTGTTTGTTACAGTGCCTGATATGTCAGATTTCTAGACTCACTAGTTACTGACACCTATCAAGAAATATATGAACCATAATCTTTCAGATCTGGCTCAGTACAAAAATCTATTTCCTGCATACCTGCTGGCTACTGAAAGAGTCAGAAAAGCTCTAAACTAGTTTTCCATCGTGTGTTAGAATAACTGCCAACCAGCATTTTAAAACCTTTATTTGTAACAGGTAACAAGGTTGGAAGTATACAAAAAAGCAATATATTTTACTCACTAGGTCTATCCACCCAGTAAAAGGCCTTTGTTCTATGATTGCCTCAGCTTTCTTTTGGGAACAGTGTGGCATAACTCGCAACTCTCCAACTGTAGCTGTTGACAAAAATTCAAGTACTTCCTTCTTATCCTCTGTTAGATCATCTGAAATATCTTGATCTGAGTCATCGCTGTAACAATAAAATCACTGGTTTACTGTGTATTAATTATAAACACTAGTGACTCTCAGAAAGTATATTCCCAGACTGGATTCAGCATAGTAACAAACATAGATGGGAAGAATTCATGAGACACGACTTCTTCCAAACGTTTATACCTGGAGAGGTCAGCCAAACTTTAAATTAAAACTTATGTTGTGATTTACCTTTGTCTACATTTTGAATTACAATTCCTGAAATTTTGAAACATAATGGTAAATTATGGCCAATCTCTACGTTTTAAAATTTGGCAAAAGTAAAGTGTTGCAGAGAATTTCTACACAGGTAACCTGTAACTGTACCAAATTTTGCATCACACTGCACATCACTGCAGGGACTGAGGAAAGGCACATGAAAAATCTGTCACGATAGTCTGTGTCCCAGTTGAAATTCAAATCAGCCACCTACTAACTACAAGGTGCTACTGGAAAGTTCAACCACAACTGGCTCCTTAATCATGACAATACGCCCAAACCCACACATCCCTGAAAACCACAGGGTTTGTGACTAACAACATGGTTATCATTCCTCATCCTTCCTACCTGCCAGACTTAGCCCCCTGTAATTTTACTTTTTCCCACATTGAAAATGAAACTGAAGGGACAACGTTTTCAACAAGCGTCTGACATCTGAAGGGAATCACAAGCGGTACTCGACAGCAATAAGTTGCTTATTTGTTAAAAATCCATTAATATATAAAATTTACAATATTGTAACAATTCATCCAGCTCCTATGAGCTGTGGCATGAAGTTTAATTGCTATCTTGGCATACTTTTTTAGTTAATCTGTTCAAAGTAACTGTATGTAGCAAACCCTTGTCCAATGCAGAGGTTACGTTCCTTTGGAATGGCGTGTCAGGTAAATCCATATTGTACAAACATAATACCTTATGGAATGAGTGGAGAATTTTGAATGCAGCCACATGAAGACTCTCATTAATAGCTAGACACACAGCATTTTACATGAATACATACAGAAATGAATGGTCTTAACTGTATACATACCAAACACAATTAAAATAAATATATAATGGAACCATAAACATTATGACACTACATATGGTGAATATAAGTGTTATATTATACTGTAAATTACACATCTAGGAATAATGATAATGAAAGAAGAACAACAATGACGAGGAGCTTTCTATATTCTGGTGGAACTGATTTTCTGTTGTCTTACTCTGGAACACATTCTCTACCATTTCCTACACAAACCAAAATTAACTGCAAATTTTATTATTTCCACCCGAAAATAAAAGCAGGTATGTTATTATGCTATTATTTTAATATTCAGTTTTTGCTAATGAGATATTCTGGAAAGAACGGTCAATAACAAGGACCTCAAGTTGCTTGTGGAATACAAAGTGAATAAGAGACAAAATACCTGCAGAATATTTTGTAAGACTGATGAGGACTAAAGTACCTCACATTACTTTACATACCTATCGAAAACTCTTTCATCCTCGTATGGATTGTGGTTATCATCATCATCGTCATCTCTGTCTTCTTCAATGTCATCCATCTGCCGCCGCCGCCGCTTTCCTGAAATGAAGGCAACCTAAACTCTTGCAACTCAATTCAATACACAGTGAGAAGAGCCTTAAACTTTTAACTGTTTTGGTTTGTGCAACAGCACACAAACTATCATCCATCAGAACTTTAATGATTGGCAAAGCTACCACTAATAAATTTGACAACAAAATGACTCTCTCTCTCTCTCTCTCACTCCTTATTTTGAATATGGCAACAATTTATATTGCACCTAGAACTGAACTGTTTTTAAAATACAATGCTTTATGAAAATTTATGAAATGTATAAAGAACTAAGCAGTATACTTTAGAACACTGTAAAAGTTTCTATTATTGTAAATTCTGATTACAATGAAAAAACTGATCTAGTAGAACAAGTTCTCATTCTCACCTCAGTTCTTGAAATTTCTCCATACTCCTATCTGATGGGAAATAGTAAGAACTGGCTCATACTGCATGTTTAAACTATTTGATCAGATAACCCAATTTGGATACATCTCCCATAAGTATTCCCCTTATCAGCAATGAGGTTAGAGACTCATATGGAATGTCAGTCTGATCTGACAGAGTCTTCATGGATATCTATATGATTTTAGTCTGGAATTCAATTTTTGTTTCACAGGTGGCATTACTAGTAGGTAAAAATGTTTTTACAACATGAAGATCTTGATTTGGTCTGTTGACTTAGTTTAGTGCATTCAATTTCAATTTCCTTTTCCACCTTAGTTTCAGGTCTGTACAAGCATTATCATAATTTTTATTGCACATCTTCCTGTTATATATCATTTGAAAAAACCTGATCTCAGGTGCATAAAACCTGTAGTTATACTGACATATGTTGTCCAGTGATTGCGGTTACCTCTTTCTAACAGACCCAACAGAGTAGGTGTCTCCCACCCCCTCACCTGAGGATGAAAACTGAAACAGTTTATGAAATGAAACCGAGTAATCCTAAGTGTCATACATCATCGTCAGAACTCTTTAGAATCCAGTTGGTTGAGCAGAAAGATGGTAATTGTAGAATATTTGATACATGGAAATTCTCTTGTATCTTCAAACCCCTGAGATATCCAATGAAAGGGTGAACACCACCATAAGTCAAAGGATGTTGTGTCACTGACCAAATTTTATCTTGGCTTCCACTCCCACTACTGTAATTATCAACTGTTACTACGCCTTTATGAAGCTAACTTTAATTCCAGATGACTGCTTCATCAGCGTCAGTCTCCAAAACAAACTCCTGTTTAATTTATTATTTAGTTCTCAAAATTTGTGCCACAAATAATGTGTATCAAAGCCTGTCACAAAGTGATGTCTGTCTGTGACAAAAAGAGAGAATCCAAGAGAAATGTGCTAAGTGATGATAAAGTTCAAGACAGGATTAGACAGCAGTTTTCGCAAATTCTTAAAATGCTTAGGACAAGGACCTGGTGTTTCACTGGGATCTTCATTCACAGCCACAAGTCTAATTAAATTTTGTATGCATAAATTAGAGATCGTGGATCGGCTAAGATTCCAGATTACGCAGCAAGAATTCACTTTTCTGACCAGCTGTTGCAAAATGCATGATAAAATCATGGATCTACAGCTGTTGTTCATAAGCAATGGGGAATGGCTTTATCTTAGTGGTTGTGTCAAGCCACAAAATATACGAATATGAGATGAAGAAAATCTTCACGCCATTCAACAAGTAACATTACACAGTGTAAAAGTAGCAATATTGATGTGAAGTGATGTTAACTGAGCAGTGAGATGTTGATTCTAGAGGGTTCTGATGAAGATGTATAACACTCAGAATTGCTAGGTTTTTTGACTATGTCTACCATCCAATATTCATAAGACTACAGAACACAATGTTTCAGAAACTGGATCTGGTCCCCTTCTCAGGTGAAATGGGAGACACCTACTATGCTGGATCTCTTAGAAAGAGCTAACCTCAATCCCTGAACAACCAATGTCAAAGTCAAAGTTATGTTACAACAGATAGTCAGCAGCCAGTCTGTCTTGGAATAAAGCACCCATCTGGAGTTGATGTGGGGCGCTCTCTCTGATGAGATGACAGGTCTGTTGTTTGCCAGAATCACAGTCAGCACTAATAACACTGTTGTCAGTAGGTAGAATTTACATGTTATTAAATGTATGTACATACAAAATACACAATTCTTCTCAGTCCATGTACAGCAGATCATGCCCTATCATTATTGGCTCCTGCTACAACACTTCAACGGTCTATGCTTGACTGCCACCTGGTTTACACCTCTTCAACCCCTGTCAGATTAACTACAGCTATATAAATACCTGAGACCCGACTTTTTTAAGGGAAATAATAGAAAAATATGCAATAAAAATGCACAGACCTGAAACTAAGATAAAAATGGAGATGTAAAAATTATGCAACAAACCTAGCCAACAAACCAAGTTCACGAAAACCAATGCATAAGATTAAACGGAGAATTCTGTGAAACCATTTTGTGCCTACCATTAATGCCATCTGTGGAGTAAAAACACAACACTCTAGACTAAACCCTAATAGGTATCCATGAAGAATCTGTCACATCATATTGATCTTCTCTGTGAGTTGGTGACCTCATTGCTGATAATGGGTATCCAAATGGGAGCAGAAATCTCAAAACTGGCCCAAATGTGTGCTGTTAGTTTCAATTTCCAAAATCCTAGCTTCATCTCAGCCTACCCTGTGGCCCTCTTCATATACACGTTGGGCTGATTTTGATTTCTCTAGAAGACCTTCTTTGAAACTGTACCTATGTTCACAGAGACGTACGGCTAGAGACGTCCGTTTTGCCTGTTGTGGATCCTTTTCCAGCCTGGTGCTCATGAGTAAACTCCTGAGAGTGTGTTTAGTTTTTAAGATCATCCTAATGGTATATCATTTCTCTGTATGTCTGAACCCCTCTGATACACTCTTCACATATGGGATATACACATGGACCACAAGCTTTTCCTCCTTACTCTGATGACTGCTACCGTTGGAATTAGTGAGTTAGTCCATGAATCCCTGGGGATAACTGTTGAGCTGAAGATCATATCTGATGCTACCAATACCATTATACAGAGCTTGCCATGGTGGAAGCTCTATTGTGAAGACTCTGAATTAAACACGCGGTGAATGGTTAGATCTGAAGATGAGATACTGACCAGTGTGGGTGGGTTCTCTGTAAACATGGTGGCCAGTTCTATCCATTTCCTGATACCAGAACATCCAGAATATGACCTGCACTGTCTGCCAATTTAGCACATTTGCCAAAGGTCATATATATTCAATCTCTAGATTCCCTCATTAACTCTGATGTTGTTAGTCTTTTCACTAATTTACCAACTGACAAAGTCCTACAAGTTATCAGAAATAAAGCTCCATAATGCTGACAAACTGGTGGAAAGGTCTGTCTTGGAGGTCAAAGCCATTATGGAACTGCTGAAAGTTTGAGAACCACCTATTTTTCTCCATCATGCAGTTTTACCTTTCTTGCGCGATCGAGCGTCAGCAGGACGTTTCTTCTTGTCTCCCACTGAATCACCCTCACAAAGTAGCGCCATTGCTGCTTCTACACTCCAACTGCTAGATACCAGCGCATCCTGCAGCACCTGCATGGCACCAATTGTCATCTATGTTACTGATCATGGCTCTTTAGGAGACATACTGTCAGCAATTGTTTTTGAAGTAATAAGAGCAAAAAGGTGTTCCCCACTTCAACAGTCGTTATTTTAAAGGTGAGAATGTAATGAGATGGGAAAATGATAGTTATTCATCATTCACTATACGCTACCAGTGTGACAGCTGAGATTTAGGCTGAGCACCTCCCAAACACAAATGCAGAGCATTATAAAATTTTATGGGGGCAACTCAAAGAATAATGTTAGAGTTTTTAAATTACAAAAAGAAGAAATAAGGATTATATCTGGAGTGGGACCTAGAGACTCATCTAGGGATCTTTTTAAGAAATTGAATATACTGCCATTGTCATGTGAATACATTCTCTCACTGATGATGTTTATGATTGATAATCAAACTAAATTTTGTTCAGGTTTAGATGTTCATGGTTTGAATACAAGAAATCGAAAGCAATTATACTTGCCAAACTCGAATCTTTCTGCTTTTCAGAAAGGTACTATGTTTACTGCCATTAAACTATTCAACAGATTGCCCATAACCATTCTAAGCCTTAAAGAGAATAAAATTAGTTTTAAAAATAAGCTGTCTTTATATCTTATGAATAATTCCTTTTATACAGTTTCTGAATATGTGGAGCATAACATAAACAATTAGTTTTAATTATTCTGTTATCTGTGTGTTTGTTTAAATTTTTTGTATTTGTTTTTTTTTTTTTTGATATGATGACCTTCATGTCCATTTGTTTTGGACTTATGAAATGAAATGTATGTATGTATGTATGTATGTATGGGTAGGCCAAAGTGACAGTGAATGGTAAGTAGGCAAGGATTTAGGACGTGGTATTCCTAAGTCCAAGTAATATCCTGACATTTGTCTGGAGAGATGAAAGCAAGAAATACTTCTGAGGACAGCCAACAGCTCCACTGAAATTCAAATTTGGTACCCAAATGCATCCAAATGCATTCTTTGCAGTGTTACATCTATGTACATAAAATCTTGTTTATAAACTGCAGATTCAAGATGATGAGACAACGTGACAATGGGCAAAAATGACCAGGAAAGAGTAAGCACATATTCAAGAGGAGTGTGTAAAGGAAGACAGAAAATAGAGAACCTATGTTATAGGACAACTCATGCTGGTGGAGATGTGAACTGATGATAGTGGTGGTGGTGGTGGTGGTGGTGGTGATGGTGGTGATGGTGGTGATGATGATGATGATGATGATGACAAACCTACTGCTGACAAGGTCAATCAACCATTAAATAAAAGCCACATTAAAAAAATACTTCAAATGTAAGTTCAGACTCCTGAAAGCATATGTTGGTCAGGAGTGGTGGAATGGAACTTTGTTATAGCCCTCACAGCTAGCAGGTAGAGTAGGGAAAACTAACACCTGCCTTCAGAATCCAGAGTACATAATTCTGTTTCAGATACTTCCTAACAAGCAATAACATGGAAGGTAAATATTAAAATGCATTTTAGGGTAATGGGCTGTGGTGTTGCAAACTGGAATGAAATGAATCAGGGTGGGATCCAGTGGCAACTTTCATATTCATCTTCCTGTTCCTTCAGGACAGAATACTTGAGAACAGGAGTGTGTATGTATATTATTATGTTGCTTACCATTTTATCTAATGAAGGGAAGGCATCTTCAAGGAACTTCAGATTATTCTCCTTCAGGACACTGTCAGCTTCATTTTCTCCTTCTGACTCTTCACTATCCTGAATGCGTGCAACTGGCTTCTTGCGGTGAACTACTATAGACTCTGGACCTGACAGACTGTCTGACATCACTGACATGTGATTTTCTAGAAGGATACCAGTTAACCACTCCGAGATTACTGAGTCATGTTCAAACTTCAAAATAATATTACATTTCACATATAACATTTATAAACCATGTCCATAAATATCAATACATAATTTCGCCTTTTGTTTATTATGGGTGTGAAACATGAACTTTCCACTTAAGGGAAGAATATAGATTTAAGGTGATTGAAAACAGGTACTGTAGAGAATATCTCAACCAAAGAGAGAAGAAGCAATGGGGAGATGGAGAAAAATGAATAGTCAACTGTGGACATAAAACAGAAACTCTTTCAACAGTACTTCCCTTAATGACATTAATACACTGGAAATGTTTGAATAAATTATTATGTATGAAATAATAGCCTGGGCTACTAGTTAAATGTACATCACATATGTAGAAATGGTAAAAATAAAAATATATTAGGGAAACTATTTGATTTTACTGCCAACCATATAGCATTTAGATTGAAATATAATATCACAACCAATTAAGAGTACAATTTATACAAATAGTAATGATAAACTGGGACACTGTTGCTTCCTGTAACTCCTGAATAAACATTTTCTATTGACAATAACAGAAAAATTATTTAACTAGAATGTCCTTAGCATATAGATTCTTTGAGGGAAGAGAAGTTCTCACTCAATTGGTAATAACTTTTGTTCTTAAGAATAATGACAATGAAATTTATATATTTCAATCTGAAAATTGACATGCTGTATAATTTAAACTGAATTTGTTTAAAATTAACAGATACTACAAATTCTGTAAGTTATTTTTATTCTAAAGTCAACCCTGCTAATAAATTAAATGGTATTCGGCAGTGAAAGCTTACAGAACAATGATAAATGGTCACAATAGCATCCTTGAAGATGATAGGGCAATAACTGTTGCATCTACTTACTAGGTGTACCATTATTGATTATGCCATTTGACCGATTTGTTTCTATCTGGTGTGTCGATTTCTTCTGAAACCGAAACTGCCGAAGGTTGTTTAAGAGACTTGGGCTTGGAGTATCATGCACCCCAGACCCAGAACTTGAATCCTGTGACATTTTGATGTCTTTAGTGTTGATTGCTGAAAAAAAAGACCGTACACTATGTAAATGCTGTAATTTTCAATACCAGATTTAAATATAAGTATTCTGACGGCAGTTTTTGCATTACTAGCATTGTAATGTTCGAAAAATTGAAGAGTAAATGGAATAATCATCTTACCCTATTATTCTCTACTGGTTATATATATGTACGGAAGGTAGCCACAATCCTTGTGAATGTAATCGATTCGTTCATCTACCGCATTTCGAGATTTTCATTAGCCACTTTTTTGTTTACGAGGCACAGTCATTCCTGCCAATAGAAATGCTTACAGCGGATCAAGTGTTTTTGGTCTTGCGGCCAGTTATTTAAACATTCAACGAGTTATAAAATTGTGTTAATTACTATTGGGTATATCCAAACATATTAGACTGTACGGCCCCTTGTGGATGTGTCGTTGTACAGTATTGTATAAATTTAACTTCCATCAGACTACACGGTGTCACAGAGTGAAAGAGTGCTCATTTTAACCATGTTAGACCAGCTAACACTGAAAAATAAAATAAAAATGTTACTTTGTTACCATCGTGGTTCGGTGGTACTCCTCATACTGGAAGAAGAATCATTCGGATAGTACATCGTCTCCTACCAGCTTCCAGTCCATCAGAGACTTGCAAACCAGTTCATCGAGGCCTAAGCTAGCCGTTTCTCAGACAGGAGCATTTACAAGATACCTGTGATAATATTGGCTTGAAGGGAAAAGGAAGTGCGTGATATTTCGAACGTTTCAAACTAGCATGTGACCCGAACGAGACAATGCATGTCAGTTATTGATGGTGCTCCCAGACCAGAGAAGGGAAGCGACTGAAGAGTACACACAAGAATGGGAGAGCGAAACTAGTGGTGCTGCAGAAGGATGTCGTGACACTCTTCAAGATTTTTACTTCAGTTTCTGTTTGAAAGTATTATCAGGTATTATCGGAAGCCAAAGAATTCTCGTAAACATGCAAACCAAAAGAAGCTAATCAGTCACTGTTTAAAAAAAGCTGAAGAATCTAAGATTCTCTTTTAACAGAGAAGCATGAAAGTTGTGAAAAGGTTCCGTCAAAAAGTGAGAGCCAATCACAATCAGAATTTCCGGCTAAGATAGTGCATCCCGGTGGTTAATAATGCTCGAAAAGCTACTTATTGCCGACTGTACCATAAAATAATCGAAACTTTGTATCGCCAGTTGACCAGTCCATTCTCTGAAATCATCAACTCAAGCTAGTTACTCTTCTAGACTTCGGAAACTTTAAACACTTCCCTGGAAATTTTCCAGCTACTGCTTATTGTTTGTTGAAATCATATGGGCTGTAGTTTGATTCTCATGTTCTAAACACTCAACTTCATATGATCAGAAATTTATCTTTCCCGCTCCACCTCTGAATTTATTTTGCCGACTTACTGATTTATATCACAATCAGTGGCTTCATCATAATACGACAGATCTTAGTCAGACTTTCCCACATTTATCAAGAAGTCTAAAATGTCAGGCGTGTTCCTCGATAAGAAGTACTGCACATCTATTACGACAGAAATAATACAAGATTATTTTGATTCTCATCTTCTAAGAACTCAACTTCTTATTTATTTTCCGGGGATAATTTTACAGAAAAATATTTCGTTCCTCATACGAGTATGCTCGATCGCTTCAAATCTGAATAAGGCATCACTGAAAATCATAAAATTATGCATTTGTTATTCACCATTCCAACAAAGACTGCGCCTGTCGAGCGGCCATCCTCTGCTCTGAAGAAGGTGTACAATTACCTAAGCAGCACGCAAAACCAGAAAAGACTGTACGTTATCACTAATGGCACGTAAGAAGAATATTCTTCAAGATATAGAAAAAACGTTCGAATTTCTGTGACTCTGTCAGATAGTTTCTCCAAAAGAAATTGTGTCGTGTAAAAATGAAGCTCGCGGTGTAATGAAGGAGGTATTTTTTTTTAATTCCTAGTGGGGTGAGACTAAGTCCCTTGTACTGCGCCCACTTCTGGCCTATTGTACCAGCCCCAGATGATAGGTGAGGGTGATTGTGGAGCAATTGGTGGAATGAAGATTGGCAAGGGAAACCGAAGTAGGAGAAAACCTGCGCCAGCGCCACCTTGTCCATCACAAATCCCACTTGACCAGACCCGGGATCGAACCCGGACCCCAGCGGTGGGAAGCCAGCGACTAACCGCTTGAGCTATGGCGCGACCAATGAAGGAGGTAAGTTCAGTAGTTGCTAATAATTTTTCTTGGTTTATATTTCCTCCTTTTAGATCTTAATTCTGCCCTCAGATTTGCACATCGTCTTGTGCGATGTCTATACTCAACTGCCAACATCTTCACATCGCTTTGCCTAGGGATTTGACTAACACACATTAGTGTCACATCGAAGAAGACGGTATTCCTCAAGGAGTTTATTTGCAGTTTATTTAACAGCGTTTTAGTGAAATGTATAACGTCGAATAATTTGATCAGTTGAATCAGAAGATGTGGAAAGAAACGGTTGTGGCGTGGGGAAAATTATAACACCGTCTTCAAATGTGTACTCGTATGACACGTGTGCTGTCAGGATTTTTTTCCAACGTGCTGGGGCAGGGAGAAGATTTACTTACAATCTTATGTTTAAGCCACTTGAGATTATTTTTACTTGTCACAGAATATTTAGGATACAAAGTCGTTAAAAATGCTGTAAGTTTTTGGCATTATTATTCTGCTTCTTTCTTTCTTTCTCTTTTCATAATGAGTTTTAAACAATTCAGGGGTGGGGAAATTCTTGGCTCCCTCCTTCCTCCCGAAACTGTCGGCACACAGGGATAGATATTGATGCACTAATAATTCGAAACATTACGTTTGTCAGAAAATAAAAGTTTAATAATTTCCGAAGAAATAAAAATAACATCGTGAAATCTTTTAATTCCCTCTTTTCCCANAGTCGGCTATTTATCTCCCAAATAATTAATTCACTCGACTATTAAACAATTCGGGTAGCGTAGTTGGTTGAGGGGCTATGCTACAAGCTGGAAGGTCGCGGGTTCAAGTCCCGATGAGGTCATTGGATTTTTTTCAGTTGACCTAATCCTTCCAGCCGCACTAGGCCGTGGGGTTTACTCAGCCTCGTAACAGAAATGAGTACCAGGAATTAAATAATTTTCCTTGGGTGTAAAGCGCGGCCGGGGCGTAGGGCTGACAACCTTACCGCCATCTTTGAGCCGATTGTCTAGACCGGTCTAGACAGTGTGGGAACCTCAACGTCTCACACCCTGTGGCCCTTCACAGCCTGGTACATGGATAGCTTTACTTTTTACTTTTTTTAATATTTCGGAAGACCAGTTAGTGGATTGTACGCATTGTTTTCACCAGTTAGAATAATAGACCACCTATTTGAAACATGAAGGATTAAACGTGAACATGTCTCAACCTGAATAACAGTCTACGAACCGAAAATTCAACTCTCCTCTGTAATGAAAAATACGTCGATTTCTATTAATTCGAAAATAGCGTAACATTGTTTTGCCAGTAAACGCAATTATCCTGCTTTTAGCCCAAGGCCCCAAAAGTTTCGGACAGTATGAATGAAAGTTCATCTTAAACCAATCCGTGCTCTAAGACAGTTTCCTGAATTTTCCTTCCTAACACGGCGGCCGATCAATGTGAGAAACCCACCAAAGCCACCGTAAATGTGAAACGACTCGAGCAACGTTCGCTAATTCGTTATTTCACGTTTAAGGTTCTCACAGCGATGACAATGAGGGGTGCGATCTTCTGGGTTATAATGTGTAGTTCGTGAAGTTTACCGACGTTGCGGAGGAACATATCGCCTCCATTTTCAGATCCAAGGAAAGTCCAGAAAGAAGTCAGTGACAAGCAGGGCTTCTTAGCCGGCTTACACCCTGATCACGAAGATGGAGGCGATACGATTCTCCTAACCGTCGGAAGATTACTACCAAACTATTCGACGTTACAACCCAGAAGTAGTAGTCCCGAATCCAGAATCTCAAGTTCGTAAATTATGTGTCTCTATTCAAATATTCTTGCCAATGTGAAATTCAAAATATGACGGCCGCATAGATTTCACGTGAGTACACCAATAATTCCGAAGAACATCGAGAAAACGAATTTTGGAAACGGTAGACAAAAGTAAGATAAAGCTGCCCCTCTAGCAGACCGTGGAGGTTCCCACATTTTCTGGACAATCGACTCACATACGAGTATGAGGATGAGGTCAGCCTTACGCGCCAGCTGCTTTGCATAGTGAAAAATTTAGTTCAAACAACCATAAAAAATATGCAATTATATCACGTAATTATATTTACATACTTTATACACAAATATTTTCAGCAGCACAAGAAAAAGATGTGTCAAAACACCTCAAAAGTACAAAGAAGTAATAATTCACTTTAAGGACACCACCAGTCTTTAGTACAACATGGGACTAAACAAGTAGCCTAGCATGTAAAATGTAGTAGACTAGGATCACCTGCAGTCTGTTGGTTGTTCTGGGGGATCTACTAGCAGCAATTATAGTGTTGTTAAGTATGTAAGCGACTGTTACAAACATACAAGCAGATGGTTTCAATTTTGAATCCCCCACCCCTACCTGAAAGCTCTTTGGTGTCATTATGGGGGTTCTTTTTTCAGAGCAGTGATCCCAAAAATTTCAATATTTTTCACTTTATTGAGCTAAAGTTAAAAATATATTACCAGATATGAAATCATAATTGTGAATAAAATAATCTGCATTTTCAATGATCTTGCTTGCCATACCTTTTAATGATAAAGGCACAAAAACAAAATTACAGCATTTGGACTTATGTTTGGAACTGTATGTAAACATTGAGGAAAAGAATCGATATTTATAATATAATGACCATTTTGATACATCTATGTGAATACAAACCTAGGTACCAAGAGAATATTACATAGATCAAAAATTAAATTCTGAGGGCAGTAGTTGGATTCACAGAGTGCTTGCTAAAATAAACGAGAGCCAAACCACAAATTAGAAGTTAATCACCTTAGGAAACCTTACCTTGTTCAAATGAATTCTGGCATGCCATGTGGAAGTAAATATCCTCTAAGCCATTATTTTCCAACTGGTGGAATGTGTCGCAGTGGTGGAATTTGATGGTTGGCTTGGTGAACAAGAGATCTCAATATATTCAGCCACACAAAATTAACTATACAAAAAAAAAAATCCTACATGTTTGGCACAAACATGTAATTAATCCTGCACCACAATCATACTTTTGCTAACAGAACTAAAGTCGAAGATCTTTTTTGTCTTCTGTGATATGTATACTCTTCAGCCCTTTTCGGAGCCACAACTGCGGGAACGTCAAGTAATACAGCAACAATATTTTATATACTGTTCTTTTAATGAAACAAAATTGTTACAACCCTCCAATTCTGAAAGAGCTTCCAGTAAAATTATAACATAAAATGTGAATTGTATAAAGAGAAATTTATATTTTGATTTATTTTTTGTTTTTTCATTATACATGTAGTAGAACTGTCGTACTTTGACAAAATGGATAGTGGGACATAAGCTATAAAATGTTGATCACTGTTCTATGCCATGCTCCAAGTTCTTTGAAGCCTTGGAGGACTTCATCTGTGATGACTAAGATTATTAATTTTATAAGGTATACCTACACCTTCAGAGAGTGTGCCATCATTTGCCATGCTTACATATGATTGATGACAGCCTGATTTTTGTTCTGTCCTAGGAGGCATCACTTTTTGCACAGAGGGTATGGTGTTCCATTGTATCTGTGGATTACCTCAGCCATGCTGTAAGTTTTATCAAGTTTTGAGACAATTTTATAATTTCAAAGTTGTAGATAGCAAGTTGCTTGCAGCAACCTAGCTTGTTGCATCCACTCTGAGTAAATAATGCTGCTTATGAATTATTAACATGGTCTCCAGCTGCCAGCCGTTTCTCAGAATGCTGTAAATCCTGCATTGTCCATAGTGTGTTCATGCTAACAAATGACAAATTTCAAGGTTATTTGCTCACATCAATCAATATATATGAGCAAAGAAATACACAATAGTATATAGTATTTGTCCCTATAACCGCTCTAATCAACTGCCATCCATATTGTCCTTTATATTGTCACCATCTTCAATAGGCGAAATTCACGAGCTACAGGAAGAAATTTGGATCATTATTTCCAGTTATGTCCTCATGTTTAGTTATTTCACCCCTCATTGCAGTAGGGTATTTAAATCCTACACCCCAATTTGGAGGATATTTACAAATGAACTGGAATGTACTGCTGCAACTTCATATGCTCTGTAGGTTTCACATTAACAGTTGAAAAAAATGACATTCTAATTACAACAGTA